CATCATAGCAGTCCTGTATTGCTGCATATTACTTTCAAATCTGCTTAAACACAGATTCTATTGCATGGTTTCTGTGGGTTTGGAGATGGGAAAGCAGCTTAGCTGGATGGTTCTGGCTTGGGTGGCTCTTTGGGAGATGGTGGTTCGGGGGCGGCAGCCCTGGTTAGCACCATAAGCCTTGACCGGGCTGGGCTGGAGGATCTGCTTCTGAGCGGGCTTGCTCCCCTGGCTGGCTGGCAAGGTGACGGCTGGTCATTTACAAGAAGGCTCAGATCCTCACCCAGACCCAACCATAGGACTGCTGGCGTGTCTTCGTAACATGGCAGCAGGTTTCCTCCGGAGTCATCCAAGAGAGAAAAGAGAAGCGATCAGGTCTTCCGTGATCTAGCTTCGGAAGTCACACGGATCCCAGTATCTTGGCTGCTCGGTTACCACAGCTGTTCTGGAAATACATGAGGTCTGGAGAGAGGAGCTGTTTTTGGCTTCTTTTCCAACAGCCATGCTCTGGAGTGGGATAAGAAACCACTGCATGGTAGGGACACCTCCCCTTCTTAGTCTGAAACTAGTTTCCTTGTGAATCCAGGTACTAGGGACAAGTCCTCCCTCCCACCCCCTTTTCTTGCAGTCTGTTCGTACTTTATGTATTTAGATGCTCCTGTGCTGGGCGCATAGATGCTACAGGAATGTTTAGAAACATACCCTCTTGTTGGATTGACCCCTTTACCATTATGTAATGTCCTGCTTTTTTTTTGTTTAGATTTGACAGAGAGAGATCACAAGTAGGCAGAGAGGCAGGCAGAGAGAGAGAGGGGAGGAAGCAGGCTCCCTGCTGAGCAGAGAGCCCTATGTGGGGCTTGATCCCAGGACCCCGGGGTCATGACCTGAGCTGAAGGCAGAGGCTTTAACCCACTGAGCCACCCAGGTGCCCCTGTCCTGCTTTATATGTTAGCCTGTTTTAAAGTCCGTTTTGTCTATATATAGCTGCTGCCTTGATCTCTTTTGGTTCCTTTCCATGGAATATCGAAATTTTTTATCCACTTCAGCTGCGTGTATCCTTACAGCTGAAGTGAGTCCCTTGTCGGCAGCATGTGCCTGGGTCTTGTGTTTTTTGTGATTGGAGAATTTAGGTCTTTTCCTTTTTTGAAAGTGGGTTCCACACTGGATGTGGGGGTTCAGCATGGGGTGGAACTCACGACCCTGTGATCAAGACCTGAGCCGAGATCAAGAGTTGGACGCTCAACTGAGTGAGCCACCCGGGTGTCCCAGGTTGTTTACACTGAAGCATTGATACGTATGTACTTAACTGCCATTTTGACATTTTAAATTTATTTTCACTGCCATTTGTTAATTATTTTCTGGCTGTTTTATAGCTCCTGTTTCTTGGTTTCTTCCTTTGTAGTTTGGGGACTTTTCTCTATCTTCTACTGGCTTTTGTATGGTGGTTACTATGAGGCTTAGAAATAACTTCTGTTTTTACCAGTCTAAATGGATCATTTAAGTTTGAACACATTTTTACTATCCCCCCCCCCCCTTAATGTTAGGTCACATTTTACAACTTTTATCTTGTGTAGCCCTTATTATACTTCTGTCTTTTGAACTTATACTACCTTTGAAATTAATCCATGACCTTTAGTATATATATGCCTTTACTGGTATATTTTCAAGTATCTTGTGGCTAATTAGCACTCTTTTGGCTTAAAAAAGTCCCTTTCACGTTTTTTTTGCAAGGGCAGTTTAGTGGTGATGAAATCCTTTAGCTTTTGCTTGTCTGGGAAACTCTTTCTCCTTCAAATCTGAGTAACTTTGCTAGATAAGAGTATTCTTGTTTGGAAGTTTTTTTCTTTTCAATCTATATACTGTCCTAGATGTCAGAAACAGAGTAATTCCATTTCCTAACTAAGCTCACTGCCTGGTAGGGTAGGCATGTGTATGGATAATGGAGGAGGGAAAAATCCTTCTTAGATCAGAGACAAGAGAGTTTAACAGAAAGATGGGCTTTGTGAGCTTGGATAAATTCAGCTGAAGGAAAAAAACCTATTCTGTAGAGGTCTTCTATCACAATAAATACTAATTACAAGTATTCTCTGAATCTCTCCATCCTATCAGCATCAGTCAGACCTGCAGATTAAGAGAATATATTTAAGATTATTTTAGAGGGGGAGAGAGTGTGTGTGCGCATCCATGAGCAAGGGGAGGGGCAGACAGAGGGAATGGATCTCACGCAGACTCCCTGTGTAGTGTGGAGCCTGATGCAGGGCTCGATCTCACGACCCTGAGACCGTGACCTGAGCTGAAATCCAACGTCAGATGCTTGACTGACTTGAGCCACCCAGGCTCCCTATGTTAAGGGAGTATTTATGGATCTCAGTTCTCCTGGGTACAAGGTGGTCATGGAAGTTTCCTCTGAAAAACCCAGTATTAGAATAGTTTACTATCTCCTCTGTGACAGTCCAGGAGCAGGCTCCCATGTCCCACATCTAAATCTTGTCTTCTGTGGGAATTCCTAGGCCATCCGTGGAGGTCTCAGCACAGGGCTTCCAGCTTGGGGACTTGGGGTTCTCTGGTTGTCTGTTCCTCCCACAACACACTTCAGGGTAAGCACATGACCAGCCTTTCAAGCCCCTTGCTAGTACAGAAAGATGAAACAAAGACCAAGTTCTATAGGGGATTTGGTTCGACAGGGCAGTGTACAGTCTCAGTGGGAATAGTGGGATAAGGCAGAAAAATGGATGGGGCACCGGGCTACCTCAGTGGGTAGATAGCATCCAACTCCGGATCTTAGGGTTGTCAGTTCGAGTCCCACGTTGCGTGGAGAGATTACTTAAATGAAAAATCGTAAAAGATTGATCTGGTAGAGTCTATACTTGGCCTTACTTTGTCTATACAAAGAAATGTTCTTTTTCGTTAGATTCACCTTGTGGTACACTCAAGTTACTTTTTGGAATTTACCTAAGCATTAGGGGAATATATAGAATATACTTCTATTTGGACACTTTGAAAAAAGATTTTAAGTAATCTCTCTACCCAATGTGGGGCTTGAACTCATGACCCCAAGATCAAGAGCCACATGCTCTACCCACTGAGCCAGCCAGGTGCCCCTCAATTTAATTAATTAAAAGATTTATTTATTTGACAGAGAGATCACAAGTAGGCAGAGAGGCAGGCTCCCCGCTGAGCAGAGAGCCTGATGCGGGTCTTGATCCCGTGACCCTGGGATCATGACCTGAGATGAAGGCAGAGGCTTTAACCCACCTAGCTGAGCCACCCAGGCACCCCTAATTTTTAAAGATTTTATTTGACACACAGATCACAAGCAGGCAGAGAAAGGGGGGAGCAGGCTCCCTGCTGAACAGAGAACCCGATGTGGGGCTTGATCCCAGGACCCTGAGCTGAAGGCAGAGGTTTAACCCACTGAGCCACCCAGGCACCCCTCAAATTGACAGTGATCTGGCAACTTTATGGTTGTCCTCGAATATCTTGTTTTTCTACTTGGTTTTCATAATTTGTAAGATAAGAGGCAACCTCTTAGGTCAGGTACTGGCAAATCCTGGCCTGTTTGGTAAGTAAAATTTACCAAACATAACTACTCATACTAAGTACTGTGTTCCAACAGCAGAGATAAGTAATTGTGATAGAGACATCCCTTGAAGAACAAGTCTGTCAGCCCCCATCTAAAGTCCTTTGTTTAGGCCACTACATCACATGAATGGACATCAAGGGAAAGCACCTTGGAAGTTAAGCTTACTTGTACCTAATTTAAAGTCTGCCAGGATAAGACTTTTCCTGTAAAGTGGTAAACGCATAAAGATTTATCATTTTTCTCCATGGTGCTCATTCAAGGCTATCGGTCAGCAGGAGAGCATGTACAGGAGAGCTTTCCAGGTAGAGACTACGGCACCCAAGGAGGAAAGGCCTGTTCTCCAGTCTTAGGTGAGTGACAAAAAGATTAACCGGCATCTTGTCAGGATGACTACTTGTGGACTAAAACAAAGGACACATTCCCACTAGAACAGAAATAAATTTTAATTTGTTGAAAAGTGCAGCAGTGAACAGGGTCTTTTGAAGGGCACTTTCTAAGTCAGGTGACTGAGATGACACAAAGCCAGGGCAGAGTAACTTTTAGGAACAGATGACACAAACACAGGAATTCACAGAGGTCATGGGACCTAAGTGGTCAAAGTAAAGAACCCAAATACTCCATCTAATTCATTGGTGGATCAATGGTGGAAATATCCTTTGCTTTACCTTAATAAGGACCCTGGAACAGTCTATCTTCTTTGTTAAAGTACTAATCCTTAGACACCAAAAATATATTTAAGAATATTTCTCACAGATCAAGGTATCACTTCCACAGCTATGGTCAGTATTTTGTACAAATCCTTAGTATTGTGAATTAAAACATTTTACAACAGTACTGTTGGTCAAATTCAAAGATGCTCAAAAGGGGTTCTCCACTGGATATTTGAGGGGAAGCTTTTAATAGGAAATCTTATAAGGCAAAAGTCTCTGTTCATTCCTGTGGCCTTGGGTCACTCCTAATGGTTACACAATTTTCTCCTCTGAAGGGCACCAACCAGTCCAGACCTGGCCTTCGTAAAAGAGAAAATAATCAAAATCCAAATTCATACAGTTACGAGAGAAAGAAGCCAAGCCTCTTGCAATGTGTTCCTTGTACATACATTCTGTAAAGTTCAGTGCATTTTGTAGTCTGCTAGGCTACGAACTTGAGAGATGATTTTAGTACAGATCCAGAATGAAGCCAGTCTAAGAAAAAGTCAGATTATAGGCCATTCCCAGGTTAGTAGGAAATGTACCAAATACAGGAGGTACACAGAGCGGGCATCCCATCCCCACCACCCGAACACGGTCCGCTGAGTGTTCAGAGCAGTGTGGCAAGGTTCCTGTGGGCAACGGTCTTGGGTCACTCTTAATGACTTCACCAGCAGTGCTCTCAGGAGCCAGCATCAGAAAACTGAATAATAGGACATCACAATACAAGACCTGGTAAGAGTTGGTTTCTTTTTATTCGGGAATAACTATGGTCAACTTTGAGTAAGGTAGAAGTTGACTGATTAATGTTAAGAATCAAAGTGTAGAATAAAGCTGATACCCATATGTAACATTGTAGTTTGCTTTTTAATCACAAAATATTTAGAATATCTTCCCCTAAAACATTCACAGCAGAGGTGTTCATTTTACTTGCCAGTTTCACCTCTAAATACCACCACAGTTACTGGGATTGCATGAGGTAAAGGAACAACCCAAAGGCTATTAAACCAACATGGCTCCAGATCTGGAGTTCTGATAGAGATGTTGCTTACAGCCATGTCTTACAAAGTGCTTAAAGCTCGACCTAAGACCTTAAATAAAGCTAAAATCACTATTGCCTGAGTTGAACAGGTTATAAACCACAGCTCTCTTCCTCCTCCCCCTGCTGTTCCAACCACAGATTAGCTTTCTTCTGAAGAAACCAATAGAAACCAGATTGGTCTTGGAGCCCAGAAACCTACTAATGTAGGAAACCTCCTCAAGGTCTGGCTTTGACAGGGGAACAGTGAATGAGGCCCAAATTACGCGAGACTCCAAACCCTCAGGCAGAACTTCTCTACAGGGGAAGAGAGTAGGGTGAAGCAAGCTGGAACTCCGCGTCACCTGTGCTAGAGGAACAGAATGTCCACAAAATGCAGAGTCAAAACCAAACCCAGGCTCCTGCCACACAGGCACTTACGCCGTCCCAGCTGCAGCCCTTCCACCCATCAAGCTGTGAGCCCAGCCGCAGAGGCCCTCAAAGTGCAACCTTCACCAGCCCTTAGAAGTTCTTTCTCTCTGCTGAGATCCCTAAGCCACTTTGTTGTTCAGATCTCAGAGGGGTAATAATCGAGAAGAGACGTTCCCTCTTGTGGTTAGCGTGTGGTGAGCAGCCCCCCGGAAGGAGATGGCTGTCACCTTTTAGAACTACCTGGAATTAGCCTTTACCAAAAACTTACTGTTCTCTTTCAGTGTAGCACCAGCCCAGAATGCAAAAGAAACGAAAACAAGAAAAACCCAACAGAAAACAGTGCTTGGTTGACAGGTTTGGAATTTGTGACCTTATCACATTGTGATGTGGATATTATAAACAATGTATTTCCACTAATCTGACAACGGTGGTACTTCTTGCTCTGATGGTTATTCAAGGCGTGTGATGTTGGCATTTGTGAGAGTGAAGTGGTTGAGCTGTAAAATATACCCCCCTCCCAAAGTACTGCCGTTTATCTGAATGGACTTACAAATTCAGACTGACCACACGGGGAATCATCAGGAACTGGAACCCCAGGAAAGGGAGCATTTGTGATTAGCTGAACGAGGGATCAGGGCCAGCCATCCCTGACGGAGGGGCAGAGTTCACAGTTTAACACATTGCACAAGGTGGTCAGCTGACTGGGTTGCCTTTTCAGACAGGACCTAGAGCCAGTCCAGAAAGTCTTCCAGGCGCGGTCTTGCGGACTAGCTACAGATACCTACTACAATCACTTCTTCAGACAGAGGCGTGCGGGGACCCAGTGCAGAGGTTGCTACAGAGGAGGTTTTGAAAACCTTCGAGTCCTGACACTGCCATGATTGTTGAACATGAGACGAGGATCAAACCTGTATCTGGGGAGGGGAGAAAAAGGATGTCACGTTAACCCGAGTTAGCCACTGAGTACTTCAGTCAGAATGTTCAGTGGGAAGGATGGCAGGAAGGAAGATCAAACGAACCATTAAATCACTAGGAAGGAATCCAGTAGCAAAGTCTGTAGTACAAAACAGAAGCACTGGATAATGAAGAGCATTTTCAGCACAAGGAAGCGAGCACAGAACAATGTAGTGAAAAGCAAAGAGGAGAAAAACAAGGTTATTCTTGAGAGGCATTAGGAGGCATCAAGATTTGAGGTGGGGATCCCCCCCCCCTTTTTAGAGGCGGTTTGGAGGCATCCTGAGGGTTTAAAGCAGCCTAATGGCAGTCTAGCCCTTGCTGGAATCCTAGCAGCGGCTTCAAAGCCCTTCCAGTCACCGTTCAGACAGAATGACAGGTAAGAGCACAGGTGTGCACCTCAGACACAAGTAGTTTCCATCTGGCTCATCACGAACTGAGGTAGGTCATTAACCTATGGCTACCACTAAAATAGTAAGGCAGTTCAATTTCTGTGAAATATCTACCATTCAGCTTTTATTCTTTTCCTTTGCTGGTAAAATTAGATTAGCTGGAAAGACAATTTACACGTGTAGTCTAGACATAACACTGTATTTTACCTTTACCTGCAATTTTTTGGGATTAACTTAACCAGCATTATTTGAGAACAAGGGTGAGCCATACACTCTCTGTCCCAACGACTCAACTTAGTTACTGTATGTAAATGAATGAATGTGGCTATTTTCAAAGGGTGGTGGCTGGACTGGGCCTATAGGATCTAGTCTGCTGAACTCCATTTTCAGAGGATTCCACAGGCCTAGGTGTGTGGTGGGAAAGAATAAGCTACTGCTAAGGAATTTAAAAGCAACCAGGTGGGTGAAATAGCTGAGGCTAACATGAGGAAAGCCGGCATCTACAGTCTCGGTTATAAGCTTCATAGCAAGACAATTATAGTTTCAACAAACAATGCTTGCCTGGGAGTCAGGAGGTCTTGCTCTATCAGCTCTAATGGCGACGCTTGGGCAAATTTACCCGAGGGCTCAGCGCGGCTGCCGGGACGTTCTGTCTTCAGTCCTAACGCTTCAGGCCTGATGCTCAGCCTCCATTTGAGATTCAATTAGAGGATGGATTTAAGTTCCAAGAGTCATCCAGAGACTGCTCTAGACATCTCATTTTATTTGATAAAACATTCTGAGCAAAGCGGCTGCTGGAAACCACAGAATCATCATGTGTCAACCAGAAGTCTTGTGTCGTACTTTAGAGAATGAATTTCCTACCTCAAGGAATGGGCCTAAGTGAGGCTGCATTTCACTTACCTGGAGAAAAGCTCCAAGCTGGGCAGTCAGAATGCCTGACTGATGACTGCATTAACAGGGTTATCCATATAAAAGAAGGCTTAAGTGATATAAAATTACGATAAATATTGTCTTTTTATATTGTTACCTAGTTTGTTTGCTGGCCTCCACGTCTCTCTCTGACTCTATATGCAGCATTTAGGAAAAGTGGTTTTTTTTGGGTTTTTTAAAGATTCTTTTGAGAGAGAGAACAGGAGCAGGGAGAAATGGAGGGGAGAGAATCTTAAGCAGATTCTTGTTAGTGGAGTTCAGAGCCTGACGCAGGGCTCAATTCCATGAGCCTGAGATCATGACCTAAGCTGAAATGAAGAGTTGGGTGCTGAAGAGAGCCACCCAGGTGCCCCTACATTTCTTTAATAAACCATCTATGATCCAGTTTCTCTGCTCATCACATATATTACTAAGTTGTATATTACAATATACAACTTAGTAATATATGCTTATATATTACTGAAGACAGCTCACACAAAGCTAAATAATTGAGTTACTACTTAAGTTACTATTTTCCATCAGCTCAGGACATCAATCAAAATAACTAAATCCTTTTCTGGTGAAAATTCAACTTTAGAGTTCATAGTCTTCAAGCATAAAATGCCAAGTTTCTTGCTATAGGCAGCTCAAATTCATGGTGTGCTAAGACCCAGTGTCACTGGAGAGAAGTTATTTCAGAGTAATGAGTGGGAGGATGAGGGCTGGCTTAGTAGATGATAAACATCTTTTCTCCCTCCATATACTACGTGGTCTTACGCATTTCAACGTTTCAGAGTCTATACCTTCTAATTCATTTTGTGTATTTAGCATATTAAATTTACTGGCAAGCATTTAAGTTTCTCCAATTGGGGTTTCTGAGAAGTGAAATGAAGGCTTATCCTCTTGGAAGTGCTAGGGAACAGGGCAGCACTTGGTCGGCTTAAAGAAACACCTGTCACCAGTGCAATCAAGTTGGTACCATGACAAGAATCACACGAGGAAGGGGAGGGAGGAGAGTCCCATGTGGCAGCGAGCAGGGCTACGCCTCCAGCTAAAGCAGCAACTGGCACCGGAGAGCAGAAGTTTCAAAGAGCTTATTTTCTCAGCACAGGAGGTGAATGCACGAAGATGCAGTATTCCTACTACAAAGGAGAGTAATGAGAGAAACAGCTCAGAGCCAAAAGGACCCCTCAGGCTGCCTCTGGCTTCAAGAATGGCATGACTGCTATAGACAACTTGTCAAAGCCATCGAAGACAGTGGAAACTTACCCAGGGTCAAACACTCCTGGAGTGCGACAGGTTGGTCCAGAACAGGACTGTAACATCATTAGCCGGTAGTTCATTTTTCCTAAAAGCTCTGGGTCTATACTTTTAGCAATGTTTGTGATTTGGTCTGGATCTGCAGTCAGGTTATACACTTCTACAAATACCTACAAGAATGAAAAGATGGGGGAAGGTTAAGAGCAAGCGTTATAGTTGAAGTACTCCCCGTGTGCATGATTTCTAAACGGGAAGGGACGAGGTGGACAATGCAGTGCCCAGGAGAACACCGTCTGGTCTTCACGTCCTCAGAGAGCCCGAGGGTAAACCAAGACCACAGAGCATGTTCTTGGGTTAAGCGACTTCAGGTTCAAGGCCCACATGCTGGAAACGGGCCTCCAGCACACCCTGTGCTTTTCGGCAGAGACAGGAGGACAAATTTACTATCTTTCATAATAAAAGCAGAGAAGAGAATGCAGGACCCTCAAACAGCAAGGTCTCAGAAAGTAGACTCAGTGCTAATACTGTTACAGAAGTGAGATGTGACATTTGAAGGTTTATTTTTGTGTTAGAGTTGTTAAGACTCAAATGAGAATAAATATGAAAGTACTCTAGCCTGTGTTGTACAGATGCTATAGTTTCGTGTTTTAAAAAGCAGTTTTGGATGTCTGACACCAACTGGGAAAGGACACAATCCCATTATTTCTGACACTAGACAGATCTGATATCACTATTATCTCCCCTCCCCCCAACTCTGTACTTTATTCTCCAAGGGACAGGCCAGGAAAATGACAGTTAAACATTACAGGGAAGGAGGAACAAGAACGGACTCTGAACGATGCTCTTCTGCCTGCTGTCCAAAGTGCTTCTGACCCACAAACGAGTGGTGAGCAAGTCCATTTCCAAGAAACACAGTGAGTGTCGGCTCCACAGGGCATGATGTGGGATGCCAGATGGACGTGTGCTGATAAACAGTGTGAAAGCACGAAGGACTGCAGGGTGGGAGGTCTCAGTCCATACTGGTCTCTGGGTGCTAAAAGCCACCTTCTCACAAGGATGGCGCCTCTGGTTTTGCCTTTGATTGCCCACTGCTCATCTATTTGAGCAGCTCTGGGCTAGGCTGTTGTGGGGACCAGAGTTTCTGAACAAGCTGGTTGTTAGCCTTCTGGCATCCACAGAAGTTGAGGTGTCTTACTGTGGCCCCAAACTAGCAGGGAAGCAAACAGAGCAGGCACACAGCAATCTGAACAAGTGGACGGTGCCTTTACAGTGTGTGTGAGTGGTGCTAGGGGTGCAGAAGAGCCCATCCAGAAAGGGCACAGTTAGAGAAATGCAGTATGGCTTTGTGGAATTCTGTTTTTTGTTTTTGTTTTTTAAGATTAGCGAGAGAGAGCAAGCACACGTGAGTTGGGGGAGGGCAGAGGAGGAGGGAGAGAAAGTTCCCAGCAGACTCTGTGCTGAGTGTGGGGCCCAGTCTCAGGACCCTGAGCTCGCAACCTGGGCCAAAACAAGAGTCAGACACTTAACTGACTGAGCCTCCCAGGCACCCCTCTATTTTCTGAACTGAAGGAAGCCTCAGTAGAAGTACAGATAAGAAACCTATCTTCCTTAGAAAAAGGCCTTGGAATTGTTACTCTTCTGCTACCTCGACCAGCCAGCAGAACATCGGCACTAGCACGCAAGGGGGTGGGGGAGACAGAGGGCCTTCTTACCTCCTGGTCATCGAACTCACAATACTGTAAATTCCACTGAGCTGACAGGGTTCTCACACAGGCGTAGGTGTTATTGTAAGCATCTTCACAGACACAGTCTGGGAAACATTGCTGTAGGGATATTCAGAAAGTTAGATCAGGAGAGTTCTGTAGGAACAAATACCACCTGCCTACAGGGTCAACCAAGTTGGCTCAAGCCAGACCTACCACTGGATAGAAATTAGGGAACTTTCCACAGAGAAGTAAATCAAAGGTAGATGTGGGGCTTTGTTCCTTACTTGTGGCTCACTTGATTAAGGATGTTTGTGGTAGTTCTGCTTACAGACTCTTGCCATCACTGTCTGCTAATCTCATGACAAGAATGTGTTGTAGTGAGCAACTGGAAAATGGATGGGATAGATGCTAAGGAGACGAAATCAATCTCCTAGGAGTCACGTCTAAGGTCTATTAGGAACTGTCACCTTTTTTTTTTAATTTAATTGACAGAGATCACAGGTAGGCAGAGAGGCAGGCAGAGAGAGAGGAAGGAAAGCAGGCTCCTTGCTGAGCAGAGAGCCCAATGCGGGTCTCGATCCCAGGACCCTGGGATCATGACCTGAGCCGAAAGCAGAGGCTTTAACCCACTGAGCCACCCAGGGGCCCCAGGAACTGTCATCTGAACAGGTTGGAGAAAAAGGCTCAAGCGAGCTTTGTGGAATCAGCTGCAGGTAACTTAATGTTTTCATGTTGTCCTTACCGACTTCCTTACACTTTGGTATCGGGCTTCTCTCTAGAGTTGACTTTCCTATTTTGCATCATCCAAAGTGAGGCCAACATTGCTCCCACCACCTTCATGACCAGCCTGACTGCCACCAAGCAAGACACTTTATGATGGCAGTTACATATAACTGTGGTGACCCCGTATCTCTTCTGAGAGCTGCTGCTAACCTCCCCCATAAACAATGGTACCACTATTGGGAAGGGGAGGAAAACTAGAAGGGGAATGAAAAAGAATATGGGTAGATACACGTGCTGGTTAGGAAAACTGAAGAATTCAAGGTGCACATTCTGACAATAGGTCAGAAACATCATTTTCAGGATTACTAAATTTGTCTGGTCTACTAATTTCTAGTCAAGTGACAAAGTCAAGTGAAAGAGGACCAAGACTCAGATTAAGGGTTTTAATACTTGACACATCTAAGCCAATGCCTTGCTGTGCTACTGGTAAGAAAACTGTCTAAGCCAACTCAAGCTACTACTCACAGATACTCCAGGACTCAGCAAAGGACAGGTTGGGTCGGTGACATTACGGCCTTCTCCTTGATATTCCACCAAGACATCTGATCGCCAAGTCAGATTGCTGGCACCTTTCTGGAAGAAAGAGCAAAAGTGGTTTCTGTGAGGCATACAGACTGTGACTAGGATCACAGAGTTCTATTCTGCTAAAGGGGAGCGGCGGGTCAAAACGAATTGGACTATTCATTCAGTAGCTGCAGAGAATGGGAAAACCTCATGCAGATGAAGGCTTCTATCATGTTTGGTATTTCAGAGCACTTACAGATGACAGAAAATGCTTTGAGCATTAATACCTCTGTGAAGCAGGCTGGGAATGGAAACTATAAACTCCTAAGAATTCTTCTAGGGACACCTGGCTGGGGCAGTTGGCCAAATATCCAACTCAGGTCTGATCGTGGGGTTGTGGGATCAAGCCCTGTATCAGGTTCGTGTTCAGCGTGGAGTCCCACTTGGGTTCCTCTCCTTTGCTCTACCCCCCCTCCCAACATGTGTTCCCTATAAAATAAATAAAACATTAAAAAAATTCTTCTAAACCTATCTGATTTTATAGCCAAATACACACAAGGTTAAAAATTAAATATTAAAAAAGGCTAGTGTGCTAAGGGCTATAACAGGTTCTAAGTTTTTGGTTGGAATGAAGATACCATACATATAGAACTCACTTATTCTTCACTGTGCATTAGTGGAGTGAAAGGAAAGAAGCAACAGCACTTGAAATGGGAGAGTTTAAGACAGGAACACAAATGGTGAAAGGAATAAGGTTAAAGTAGTGAAAGGAAGTTTTGGATCAAAACAACAATATGAGCACGGTTTCCCAAAATCCAGCTTTTAGACAAGGAATGGAGAGAAAGGGTGGTAATTAGAATAAAATCAAGGCTGTGCTTTAGAAAAATCATCCTAGTGGCAGAATCTAGAGATGGAGTCAAGAGATGGAGGATAGGGAGATCAGGTTAGAATGCGCTCCTAAAATGGTCTACAGGCTTACTAATCACAGTCTGGCTTGTGGTGGTAAAAGGAAAGGGGAGGCCCAAAATGGAGTCACTTGTACTAAACTCCACATCAACAAACCAAGACTTAACACCTAAGCTAGTTGCAGTTGCAATCCTCCAGGAACGTAACTTCACCAGTCAACTTGGAATTACCTGGCTAGCACCAATGAGGTATTCTGCCCCACAGACCTTCCTGTTCCCCTTGGGAGGGTGACCTTAGCTGAAACAATGCATTCTTTGTTAATAATTTCCATATCCACCCCCTTTCCACTTTAATAAACTTTTCCCTTTTCTACAGCTCTACAGAGGCTACTACCTTCTATCGCAGATGAGTTGCTGCCTGATTCATGAATCACTGAATAGATTTTTAACAGATTGGATGGCAGTGCCAGGAGCTGAATCAAACCTCTGACAGCACTCTGGGACAATGAGAACCCTGGGAATGATGATACTTGCAAACCTATTTTTTTTTTTTTTTTTAAAGTAGGCTCCATGCTGGGACTCCATGCTGGACTTGAGGCTTGAACTCACAACCTTAGATCAAGACCCAAGCTGAGGGGCACCTGGGTGGCTCAGTGGGTTAAAGCTTCTGCCTTTGGTTCGGGTCATGATCCCAGGGTCCTGGGATCGAGCCTCACATCGGGCTCTCTGCTCGGCAGGGAGCCTGCTTCCCCTCCTCTCTCTGCCTACTTGTGATCTCTGTCAAATAAATAAATAAAATCTTAAAAAAAAAAAACCAAAACCCAAGCTGAGATCAAGAATCAGATGCTCAACCAAGGTGCCCCCTTACTCCCTCACAAACCCATTTTTGAGTTCATGGTCCTTTCACCATTTCTGAGGTTCCAAATTGTGATCCTAGTGTAATTGGCTTTCCAGTCCAGGACTTAGTCACCTTCAGCTGGCAGAATGTTCCATTCAGAACCCAGTTCCCCAACCCTTGGTTCAATTTGCATTTCCCAGTTATTTGGAACCTCTTTCCAGTCCACAGTCCCTATTTGCTGGAATTTGCTGGTTTAGTCCATGCTGGGAATTGCTGGTGGTACACACAGCCTTCTCTTGGCCAGTCTCCAGTAAACCTTTCTTAGTTACTACTAGTATGTTAAGGCACATATATATATTTTTTTTTAAATTTGACAGAGCTCACAAGTAGGCAGAGAGGCAGGCAGAGAGAGAGGAGGAAGCAGGCTGCCTGCCGAGCAGAGAAAGGCACATATTTGTCATCTTTTGTGTACATAAAAGCTATTGCTAATGAGGATTTTGGAAGCCAAAAAGCCACAAAAATGGGTGGACATGAGTGTCTTACAGTGCCTGTCTCCCTAAGACGACTCTTATGATAGGAAACTGGTCAAGAGATTGGTTACATGGACATTTGGTCACCCACCAACTTCAAGAAAATTTCTGTGCAACAAAGGTACACTGTAAAACACCAACCCCCAACCCAGTGGCACATCCCTTTTAGATACTTAGATTGGCACTGAGAAATCCAAAGTCTTAGCTAATTAAGTCTAGTGTACTGGCACACTTATATACTTTGTATCTAAAAACTATGGTTCCTGAAGTTAGAAGTATCTACAAAAGTGGCAAAATCTTACTAAAAACAGTCCAGAGTTAAAATGGGCCTTAATGGGGACAAGCAGACCAGATCCCTGAGTTAGGAAACACACTTGACCCTGGCACACCTGGCACACAGCTCAGACAGCACCAGAACCTTCCCAAGTGACCTCTTGCTGTGCCACACACAGTGGGAGGCTTTGCCTGGCATGAATGCACCTGCGGCAGGGTTGGGGGAGCAGCTCTGCACACGAGCGTTCCTGCAACAGCTGCAGCTGGACTTCGCAGCGAGCAGCACCAGAAGGCGGCCCTACCCACAGCTACTGCAGTCGCCGCACGGGAGAACTGCCCTGCATGCCGGGGAGTCCACACCAACCACAACCCAGCCAGGACAGGAGGGTGTGCACACCCCACAGGGACATCCCCGGGACACATGGCTTGGGTGACCTGGGGAGGTGGCACTACTGGGTCCCCTAGGATGCCTTTGGCATAAAGCCACTTCTTTAATACCAGGAGATGTAACTGATCTACTTAATACGTAGAAACAAATATATTTAAACTGAGAGGAAAAATGAGACAATATGTTTCAAAGAAAAGAGCCAAGACAAAAACCTTAAAAAAAAAAAAACTAAACAAAACAAAAACTGGAAGAAACACACATGCAGGCTAAGAGCAACATGCAATTAAACAACCAATGGGTCAACAAAGAAATAAGAGAAAAAAAATACCCCAAGACAAATGCAAATGGGAGCACAACAGTTCAAACCATAGAAGACACAGCAAAAACAATTTTAAGGGAAGTTTAGGGGCGCCTAGGTGGTTCAGTCAGTTACGTGTCTGCCTTGGGCTCAGGTCATGGTCCCTGGGTAATGGGATGGAGCCCTGCATCAGGCTCCTTGTTCAGCAGGGAGTCTACTTCCCCCACCCACTGCTTGCTCTCTCAAATAAGTAAAATCTTTAAAAAAGAAAAAAAGAGGGAAGTTTATAGTGATATATGCCCACCTCAAGAATCTAGAAAAATCTCAACTTTACACCTTTATAAAGAAACTAAAAAATGAACAAAGCCCAAAGTTAGTAGACTAAAGGAAATAAAAAGATCAGGGCACAAATAAATGAAACTGAGACTAAAAAAACAACAGAAAAGATCAGCGAAACTAAAAGCTGGTTCTTTGGGGCACCTGATGGCTCAAATGGTTAAGTGTCTGCCTTCCGCTTGGGGTCCTGGGATTGAATCCCCGAGTTGGGCTCCCTGCTGAGCAGGGAGTCTGCTTCCCCTCTCCCTCTGCTTGCCTCTCTGCCTACTTTTTCTTGCTTGCTCTCTATCAAGTAAATAAATAAAATCTTTAAAGAAAACCTGGTTCTTTGGAAAGATAAAATTGATAAATGTTTAGTCCGACTTATCAAGAAAAAAACAGAGACCAAATAAAATCAGAAGTGAAAGAGAAGTTACATGGAAAGGGACAACTTACAAGAAACGGGTAAATCCCTAGGAACATACAATTTTCCAAGACTGAATCAAGAAGCAGGAAATCTAAATTGACCTATTACTAGTAAAGAAACTGAATCAGTAATCAAAAAACTCCCACCAAACAAAAGTGCAAGACCAGCCTTCACAGACGAATTCTAACAAAGAAGAATTAATATGTATCCCTCTCAAACTATTCCAAAAATCAAAGAGGAAGGAATGCTTCCAGACTTCTCATTCTAGAAGGCTGGCACTACCTGGATACCAAAACCAGACAAAGATACCATACACACAAATTACAGGCCAATATCCTTAATGAACCCAGATGCAAAAATCCTCAACAAAATGTCAGTACACTGAACTAAGCAATACATTAAAAAAGATCATATGCCATCAAGTAAGATTTATTCCATGGATGCAAGGATACAAGTCAATATGATATACCACATTAATAGAAAAATCAGGGGCACCTGGGTGGCTCAGTTGGTTAAGTGTCCACCTCTGGCTCAGGTCATGATCTTGGGGTCCTAGGATCAAGTCCTGCATCGGGCTCCTTGCTCAGCAGGGAGTCTGGTCTCCCCTTCCTTTTTCCCCTCCCCACCACTACTTATCCTCTCTCCCTAAATAAAATCTTAAAAAAAAAAAAAAAAAAGAATCAGATGGTCAGCTCAGTAGATGTGGAAAAAGCATTTGATGAGATTCAACATTCATTTATAATAAAAACTTAAAGTGGATATTTAGGGAACATTCTTCAACATAATAAAGGTCACATACGACAAAACCACAGCTAACATCATAGTCAATGGTGATAAGCTGAAAGCTTTTCTCCTAAGACTAGGAACAAGACTACGATGCCTACTTTTGCCACTTTTATTCAACATAGGATTGGAAGTCCTAGTCACATCAGACAAGCACAAGAAATAAAAGGTGTCCAAATTAGAAGAGAAGTAAAACACATTTGCAGGCAACAAGATAACTATATATAGAAAACTCTATAAAGATTCCACCAAGAAACTATTAGGATAAATGAATTCAATAAAGTTGCCAGATACAAAATTAATATACATTAA